GTCATTAGCACCTCTAGTAATATATTTACTGAGAAAAATGTTGACGTGTTCAATACTTATTTTACCCGCTGTATATCTTTTGACATCAGGTGACTGACTCAATCTACAAGATGTTAAAGCAAGTTTTTCTTGTTTCATACCTGTATAATCAACTCAACTAATGGCAAACTTCAGTTACATTGACCATAATTCGTCTTTCAAGATATGAAGTACCCTAAAGGTTTGCATTTATGGATAAGGCTGATCATAAAACAGGTTTGAAGTTGATAAACCACAATTAATGTATTGGGCAGATTTACAGTGGAGTTTTTAAGTGAGCAAAGCCAACACCCGTCACTTTTTTGATTGCTCAGCTGTTTTATTTTTTTTTTTATCTGGCCAAAACCAGATAAAAGATGATGAACAACTTTCAGCTGATCTCACGGTGTCATGAGAATACAAAGGTCAAGAGAAAGRAGCAGGTTTATAGCTGGAACTTTGCTTGTTCTTTCCCACAGCAGAGCAGGTGAGCCGAAGAGTTTCTTGTCAACGACGAACTGACGGCAGAAAAGAGACGCCATGTTCAGGTAAGYAAATGGAAAAACTTATATTGCAGCATTTAACCATATCTGTGACACACGGGAGCTCCAAGTGATTAATTCGCTGTCTTGGTCCCCAGGGTTTCTGTGATTTTGAGCGTTRTTTTTATCGTTGGCATCACTGCTAAGCCCTGGGTATGTATTTTATTTCACTGCCTCTAGTTTTGGATGGTTAACTTTAATGCTGTATCTTATTTATCCTTATTTTGGCAGACGTGTAATCTTTGTGTCTTTTTCAGAATAAACTTGAAAATGAAGGTGTTAAGAAAACTYTTGTGTAAGTTGCCAGTTCTTTAGGCTAAAGGTGGAAAAAAACCCTSCAAAAAGTAAACTTAATGTTATTTTATTGCAGGGCCATAGARGAGAACGGAAGGCTGTCCTGGGAGGTGGAGCCTCCAGAGGACGTGCATCACATTCAGTACGAGATCGACCCCAGAATGAAGAGTTGGAAGAACATCCCAAACACCGACCCTGCTGCAGAGTCCCGGAAGCATTACATCAGCATCGAGTACAGACAGAAAGCAGAGGAAGACAAAGATGATATTGACCGCCCTGTTCATGCTGACGTGATCACAGAGGACCACATATCACCTGTGGAGAAGGAGGTGGTGAGCAGCAAGACAGAGGAAAGAATCCATCTTCACCCAGAGGAGGACATGGACGCTCTTTACCACAAAGAGGTCCTCGTGCCAGCCTTTTACCAAGAAGACACTAAAGTTGCTGCTCCGGTTCATTTGCCGCCTCAAAGAAAGTACAGCGAACCGGAGGAGGATCTGGATCACATTTACCACAAGTGACCCWGCGATGACCCAACACAAGCAAACGCCAATTATTTCAAACATGTCAGACGCATGTATGTAATTAAATTCTATTAAACATATCAACATAAAAACCTGTGACCTTTGTTGATAAAAATACTTTGTGACATGCCTTATCAGTTTTCATGTTTTTTTTATTTGAGACTACTCACAGTAAAAACAATTACAAAAATAAGTCATTTTTGCTCAAATGCAGAGTTATAAAATCATATATACAAACTTGGTTTAGGTTAAAATTACATATTTTTATTTAACAGCTTTTGGTAATGGTTGAATAAAACCCTGAGATTAACTTTAAGTGTTTGATTATAAAAGAAAATGAAATCACTGAACAAAAATTGTGTCAAAGAAGCAAATATATATATATATATTTTTTATTTCCTTGCCAATACATTTAAAAAGCTTCATTGAAGCTGCTCAGCAGGAATAACTCCCTTCTTCAGGATCAGGTTTCCATAAAGAGCCGTTTCCCTGCGGAAAATAAGAAATATTTAACTTTTTCAAAAAGAAAAAAAGTTATGTCAGTCCATCCA